CGGCCGAAGGGTCGTGTTATCCTCCGGCAGCCGGCCGTCCGGTTGAATGGCGTGCTCGAGGCAGAAGAGCTCCCAGCAGCTTGTGCCGATCTGAACCCCAGCCTGGCCAATGTGAATGCTCAAACATTCTCTCTAAAAGACAGAGTTATGCTTGGCTAAGTTTATTTTACTTCAATTGAAATGAACATATCTCCTCAGTTTACACCGTCAGTTTAGACTTTCGGAACTGTATCCTTTCATCCCGTCCTCGTGCAATAGGTACATTCCGTCGGTGTGAATGGCATAATAAAAAGATATGCGAAGAAAAGTCGGGTTTCGAGGAATCTCCTATTTCCTAATTGTTGAGTTTACTTCAATTTCGAGTGAAAGTGTTTGGCGAAGAGATTCAAAGGTCGGACCCACGAGAAGACGATGGACGATCACTACTTTTCAGCCGTCGATTAGCTTTACTGAAACCTTTTTCTCGACGCAGTTTCCGAGGCAATCGCTTCGATTCTGGTGAAGACTTGAATATGGTTGTAAGGATGATATCTTGATCTGATGATGTCGGTCATACGACGGACGAAAGTTTCGCAAGTTCTCACCGGGACTAGAATGTTCCAGTAAAGCCAATCGATAGCTGGTCAAGAGGAATCCAGTGTAGTCTTATCGTGATACCGACCTTGGAAACGCTCCACCAAACGCGTAAACCTAACAACAATAAAAGGAGTATTCAAGATGTGCTGTCGATTGATAGACTACACCTGGAGTTAGTGGTAAAGTTACAGGAAAATGGTTGGCTTTCGATATTGGTCAATTGTCCAGTAGGCTCCAATGTTATTCTTCTAGAATGTCTCCTCCTCTTGGCATCACTTACTTTACATTTTTGTGGGAACTTGCGACCTTTTGTACCCTTTCTCCCCGAGTCTCGCGGAATCATCGGTTTTGCATCCGGACAATTTCTCTCTCCGGTGCTCATTCAGTTCCATCCTAATAGGACGAAATTCGACGGGAGACTTTCGAGTTCTGCCCAAGGGCCTTAGGCTCGAGAGCACACCTCAAGCTGGTCTTGGTTGAGCTACAGGCGCTGTGCTGGCCAAATGGTGAGCAGACATGAGAGCGCAAGGTCAACATCCTTGCTCTCTGCTTCAGTGGTAAGCACACTGAAGACATTTTAATGCTCAAATTACAGTGCTACTCTGTATACATCGACAAAAGGAGATAATATATAAGCGGTTATAAATGAGTAAAATGTTAAGTGAATGTGCATAGATACGTACCATATTCAGTTTCCTTATGAATGTTCAGGAAACTCTGAAACTTTGGATATATTGATAGTAGTATTGAACTGATGCAACTACCCTGCTCCTTTTTGGGTTCACTACACCTGCGCGATTGCTCTCTCTCTCTCTCTCACTTTAACGCAAAACCTCTGCCTCCATACGACCCTCAATCGTGTACACTCGACAGGCTGACTAGGCACTTAGAGAAGAGTGTGCCGAGACCGCAGAGATATGTAGGGTGGGGTGAGAAAGTCCTTAAAAGGAGATTTAAGATGAAACCAGGCTGGACCTGATCCTATCGGACCCAAATTTGATTCTAGTCGGCGTGGGCAGTAGGTACAATTTCAAGAGGTCGGTTGGTTATGACTGTAAGGAGGAGTTCAGTTGAATAAGCAGCAGCAGAGGGAGTCCATGAGTGCAGAGAAATCTCCGTGTTTGTCAAATGCAATTCACGCCTCATTCTGCTAAACAGATGCTTTAAGGCTTAGGAAGACATGAGCAGAAGCAAGCGGAATAGTGTCAGCAAATCTACCAACCGAATGAGTCTGTTTGATTGGACTTTTCTTTCATTCGGGTGGTAGAGCCAAATCCTGATGTTAGCAATTACCAGGCGACAGAGTTGAGTTATGGATTATGTAACGGCATCCTTGAAAAGTTGCTGCAAAAACAGCCGAAATTGTAAGAGCCAAGCAAAAGGAAGCGGCAAGCAGCAATCAGGTGTTAAAATAAAAATAGACTAGCTTATCAGATTAGGCAAACGCGGTAAGATTGAGTAGCGTGCAAAATGCTGATTGAAAAGATTTCAAAGTTTTCCATTTTCAACCTCGTATTATTGAAGGGAGCTGTGATGCGAGCAGTTGAGAAGTGAATCACAAATCCAATACGCACACAAAGAGTAGGCTGATAGGAAAGGTAGCAAATAAACAGTCAGTGTGAGGAAGTCGCTCTTTCAATCACAAGTTCCTGATATACCTGCAGGTTGAAGCAAAGCAAATAGTTTACTTTTGGCATCCTTGTATTGCTCGATTTGCGTCGAGTTTCGTTGAGGCTGCCGTAACTTGATGACTTATGTCAAGATTCACCCAATCAGCCCATACTAATAGGCATGAAAGTGCTTTTATAACCAATTGACTATATGCTTACTTGAGTCTAGTAGCGTTCTAAATAATCATTGGAGCCGCTTTAGAGTTGGTATAGTATGCCTTTTTGATGCTTTACATCTCGAGTGTCGGAAAGACATTTTGGATATACCGTATTTCCCCATGTATAAGCCACCCCCAATTTTTTGACTGTAAGGTTTTGAAAAAATATTTTATTA